AGAGCCGAGTTCGAATTCCAGGCGAATCCATTACATTCACTTCTACGTTACGTGGTATGATAGCCAGACTTTGGGAAAGGTTCGATGAATCCTTACTTCTTCTTTTCCCACCCAGCAATGGATGAATAGCAGGACAGACCGGGCAGCTCGGATTGAGGAATCGGAGAGCCGAGTTCGACCATTCCAGTCGAATCCATTACATTCACTTACCCATGGATGAATAATACCCTTTGGGAAAGGTATGAATCCTCTTCTTCTTCTCCCACCCAGCAATGGATGAATAGCAGGACAGACCGGGCAGCTCGGATTGAGGAATCGGAGAGCCGAGTTCGAATTCCAGTCGAATCCATTACATTCACTTACATGCTAATACCCTTGGGAAAGGTATGTATCCTCTTCTTCTTCTTCCCCACCCAGCAATGGATGAATAGCAGGACAGACTGGGCAGCTCGGATTGAGGAATCGGAGAGCCGAGTTCGAATTCCAGTCGAATCCATTACATTCACTTACGTGCTAATACCCTTGGGAAAGGTATGAATTCTCTTCTTCTCCCCACCCAGCAATGGATGAATAGCAGGACAGACTGGGCAGCTCGGATTGAGGAATCGGAGAGCCGAGTTCGAATTCCAGTCGAATCCATTACATTCACTTACGTGCTAATACCCTTGGGAAAGGTATGAATCCTCTTCTTCTTCTCCCACCCAGCAATGGATGAATAGCAGGACAGACCGGGCAGCTCGGATTGAGAAATCGGAGAGCCGAGTTCGAATTCCAGTCGAATCCATTACATTCACTTACGTGCTAATACCCTTGGGAAAGGTATGAATCCTCTTCTTCTTCTCCCACCCAGCCATGGATGAATAGCAGGACAGACCGGCAGATCGGATTGAGGAATCGGAGAGCCGAGTTCGAATTCCATAGTCCATTACATTCACTTATGGCCCTTGGGAAAGGTATGAATCCTCTTCTTCTTCTTCTCCCCCAGAAATGGATGAATAGGCAGACCGGGCATATCTTGAGGAATGAGCTGAGTTCGAATTCCAGTCTAATCCATTACATTCACTTACGTGAAATATACTTGGGAAAGGTATGAATCCTCTTCTTCTTCTCCCAATAGCAGTATGGATCGTCTTTGATGGCAATCTGATCGTCATAGCACTTAACTGACATTATTGACCCCCCAGCAATTCACAGCGTTACAGGGTAAGATATGTCAGGCTAAGAAAATGTTGAATCATCCTCTTTTCCCCATATTCAAAATAGGACAAGCAAATTCATCTCAGAAAATAATTCCCAAAACTGCTAATTTATAGAGTTGACTCCCTTGTGGATGCTTCCCTGAAGACTTCACTCTTGGCCCCTTCAAATCAAGGGTCAATCGTTATTCCTCCTCATAACATTCACTTTCTACAACTTCAAGTCTTACGGCCATATTGCTTTGAAATATAAGTTCTCGTACGATCACCGATCAACGTTGATCCTCTACGTAGACGGGTGACCAGATGCTGTAAACTTGGACGTGCGGGTGGATAACGGATAACGACTTGGAAGTCGGATAACAGAGGTCCAATTCCAGTTGGGTTTGTCATATTCACTTCCGCGAAAATACCTTCAGGAAAATTATGAATCCACTTCTTCTCCTCTCCTAGCTATGGGTTAATCAGTAAATCATTATTATCTCAAAATAATAATAATAATAATAATAATAATAATTACAATCTAAAAATATTTGAATAACCTGCCTTTGATAAGCCACAAAAACAAAACCAAATCAACCAAAACACTATCACCTCCACACTCATTCATATCCTTTCCTGGGGAAGACGTTAAACCACATCCTGCAGCAAGGCCCCTGATCGGGAGATTGGAGATTTTGAGGTTAAGGGTAACCACCTCATAATTTCTGTCGTTCTCACGTCCACCCTGACCCCCAGGGTAGTATCAAATAGTTAACACTCAATACAAAAGTCAAGAGTACATTTTTATAATAAAATTTCAAACAATACATTTTTACGTAAAATGACAATCAATAAATAAATCAATAAAGAAAGCATAAAAATATATTTTTATACAAAGAATTGCTAACAGTATATTTTTTGTCGGGAAATTAATAGCAACGCATTTAAAAATAAATTAGCAACAATATATTATATCATCTCCAAACTATATATCTAACAAAAACATTCATTTGCCCTAAAAGTATAAAATTACGTATAAAATATTTAGATTTCGGCATTAAATAACCCATAGAGTTGGATATAATGCTAAAAACACCAGTGAATCTCATTCCTATCACACGCAACCGTGATTGGCTTAGGAGCATTGTATTTGGTTTAGTTTGGTTTGGATTGGTTTGGTTTGGTTTGGTTTGTTATATGCCATATTAACCTCAATGGGTTATTTAATGATTGGCTTAGGAGCATTATATTTGGTTTGGTTTGGTTTAATTTGTTATATGCCATATTAACCTCAATGGGTTATTTAATGATTGGCTGAGGAGCATTATATTTGGTTTGGTTTGTTATATGCCATATTAACCGCAATGGGTTATTTAATGATTGGTTTAGGAGCATTGTATTTGGTTTGGTTTGGTTTGGTTTGTTTTGTTATATGCCATATTAACCTCAATGGGTTATTTAATGATTGGCTTAGTAGCATTATATTTGGTTTGGTTTGGTTTGGTTTGTTATATGCCATATTAACCTCAATGGGTTATTTAATGATTGGTTTAGGAGCATTGTATTTGGTTTGGTTTGGTTTGGTTTGTTATATGCCATATTAACCTCAATGGGTTATTTAATGATTGGTTTAGGAGCATTGTATTTGGTTTGGTTTGGTTTGGTTTGGTTTGTTTTGTTATATGCCATATTAACCTCAATGGGTTATGTAATGATTGGCTTAGAAGCATTATATTTGGTTTGGTTTGGTTTGGTTTGTTATATGCCATATTAACCTCAATGGGTTATTTAATGATTGGCTGAGGAGCATTGTATTTGTTTTGGTTTGGTTTGTTTTGTTATATGCCATATTAACCTCAATGGGTTATTTAATGATTGGTTTAGGAGCATTGTATTTGGTTTGGTTTGGTTTGGTTTGTTTTGTTATATGCCATATTAACCTCAATGGGTTATTTAATGATTGGCTTAGGAGCATTGTATTTGGTTTGGTTTGTTTTGTTATATGCCATATTAACCTCAATGGGTTATTTAATGATTGGCTTAGGAGCATTGTATTTGTTTTTTGTTTGTTTTGTTATTATTTGCCATATTAACGTCAATGGGTTATTTAATGATTGGCTTAGGAGCATTGTTTTTGGTTTGGTTTGGTTTGTTATATGCCATATTAACCTCAATGGGTTATTTAATGATTGGCTTAGGAGCATTGTATTTGGTTTGGTTTGTTTTGTTATATGCCATATTAACCTCAATGGGTTATTTAATGATTGGCTTAGGAGCATTGTATTTGTTTTGGTTTGGTTTGTTATATGCCATATTAACCTCAATGGGTTATTTAATGATTGGCTTAGGAGCATTGTATTTGGTTTGGTTTGTTTTTTTTTGTTATATGCCATATTAACCTCAATGGGTTATTTAATGATTGGCTTATTTGGTTTGGTTTGTTTTGTTATATACTTTGTAATTTGATTGGCTTAGGTTTTTTGGTTTTTGGTTTGTTATATGCCATATTAACCTCAATGGGTTATTTAATGATTGGCTTAGGAGCATTGTATTTGGTTTGGTTTGTTTTCTTATATGCCATATTAACCTCAATGGGTTATTTAATGATTGGCTTAGGAGCATTGTATTTGGTTTGGTTTGGTTTGGTTTGTTTTACAGCATTAATACCGACAGATTTTTATTGCTGGTATTTTTTTCTTAAAAAATGTATTACAACTATTTTTTTTTCAAGAATATATTGCTCGTAATATTTTCATTTATTTATTTTTTTCAATAATACACTGCAGGTAATTACTCCTTCCTTCAGATATTCAGTGATGGTAATATTTTTTAACAAAAAAGTATTTCTGGTATTAAAACCTATGTTTACACTTTCATAGAGTTTTGACTCCAATTTGGGGCTATTTGCCCATAGCTGGGACCCTAACAGGTACTACCATCCCGGATCTGGATGAATCTGGGAACTCCAGAAATTAAGAGGTGGTTCCACGCTCTTCAAAACCTTCTGATCAGAAGCCCTGCTGTCGGATGAAGTTTATCGTCTTACCCAGGACGCGGATGTAGTTTATCGTCATGGGCATTGTATTTGCGTAAAATTTAGTATAAAGCAAGTGCTTATTTTTAGAAAAATGATTTTGATAATAATTGAAAATACTATTTTAATTGTATTGACGTTATCTTAATCGTATGTCGTATACTATTGTATTGATTTAGATTTCACACATATAGCCTTAAGTCAAGCTAAATATTAATTGGGGTGGGGCTTCATCGTGGCAACGGAGTTTGTAATCTAGCCTCTCCAGATCGTGGGTACATCAATGACTTCAGTGTTCACTTAGTTCCTCACATTTATCGCCTTCTATATTAACAAATGCCGATATAAAATGCTGTACAACAACTGGGAGTGCCCACTACAACCGTCGTAAATTATTCGTAAAATCTTAAAAGAAACGTTGAACGTTAAGAAAAAGAACCACATCTCTGGCCTTTCGGTTCTCCTCGTCTGAAGTTCGCCCACATATACTGGCAAGTATAGCTGGCCGCTCGTATTCGAGGATACACGTCTACTGGACGGCGGTTAGCCAATCTCTATAGCAGATGCTTGCTCAGGCGTATTTGTGCTTATTCAACGACCACAAACCCTAATTCAGGTTTATACTACAACCCTGCTGAGCAGTTTCTGGGAAAGAACGTGTTTTCAACAATTTGATCAAGGCCAGAACTTTGAAACCCTCGGCCACGATTATTGTGATTTCGTGCTCGCACAGCTATTGACGGCTCTCAAGGGTTCCATCTACCTTTTACACCACCTGCACATCCAAGCTTACAGTACCTGGTCATCCCAAACAGTCACTCATCTAGATACTGATCAGGCTCGACGTTTCTTAACTTCTGCGATCATATGAGAGCGGGTGTTTCAACCTGATGTGGCCTTAAGTCCTGTAAACCACTGAGACATCTATGCTTAAGAGCACCTGACATTCCCAAACTTTCACCCATCTAGGTATTGACCAGACTTGACGTTGCTTAACTTCATTGATCCTACGGGAAATTTGTATTTTTCTTTCTGTGTCGGCCATGTTATATTTAGGAAGTAACAACTTCGTTTTACGGCAGACATCTTGCCGCGTTAACTCTGATTGCTTTGATTACAGAGTAGAGAATATTATAGACGCTACTTATGACTTTTGTTAAAAAAGTTACCTAAGTTTATTAAATAACAACTTATTAAATAAGAACGTCGGACTGCTATATTTAAACCAGCCAGAAAATTGTTTTCTTTTTCCAGTAAGGTGTGGCATCTTAAAGCAAACTGGGCATAGGTAAGTTAAAAGTGGAACTATGGAGCGAAGACGGAAATAAAAACGAAGCCAGTCAAAAACCAAACGACAAAATAAATGGTTTCTGGGTCGGAGTATTTCGCATTCTTCTGCTTTGGAAATAACTATTTAACATTTTTCAACCAGCCGGTCGTGTCCCCGCCGATGATACAAAAACTTGCTTTGTGATAACTTTGAAGTTTTTTTTGTTTTTTTGTTGTTTTTTTTTTTCAAGAAAAGTTTACAGACAGACAAACTAGTAAGGACTGAGAGGCGACAAAAAACAGCATCAGTTTCAGGGCATTTGGTTTTAAAGAAATTCCCTTACACATTCACCTGTCTTCCACACCAAGCTACACGACACTTACACTTTCCTCGTCACGTTTCTTTTCATCTTACAAACATTGACTGTAAGAACTTTAACGTTTACATACACTAAAAAAAGAATTTAGGTACAAAAACACGAACATAAAATATCTTATATTTAAACACCTTTTACTTTGTTGCGGGTTGATTCAAATGTGCAACAGATTCAAATTTACTGCTGTGATATATATATATATATATATATATATATATATATATATATATATATATATATATATATATACACACACATATATATATATATATATATATAAGTGTGTGTGTTTGTTTGTATGTACATTTTGACACAATCTATATATATATATATATATATATATATATATATATATATATATATATATACATATATGTAAGCAAATGTAAATGGATATAGATCCGACAGAATGAAGAAAAATTTGGAAAAAACAAACAAAAATCCTTAAATGCAATTATGTTGTTTAAGATGAATGAAATGTCGACGTCTGACGCTTCGGTTTAATAAACCTTCTTCAGGACAATATTCATTAAAATACAATTCAGTTCAATTTGACAAAGACGATGGACATAAAAAATTGTTTTGGATAAGACTTGTTTTAAACTCGGCTTTGTGCCACATATATTCCTCGTGGGTGGGATATTAAATACCGAGATACGTCGAGACTGTAACTCGACGTCTGTTGAACTCTCTGCTTTGCCAGAGAGGAAGCCGGACGAAGCTTTGCCGAAGGGCAAGGTTTCGTCCGGGGAGGTAGACAGGCCCTGAACCCTTCTAGGCGGGTTCAAAGGGTATATATTTGGCCGAGCCTACGGGCTCGGAGAAACCCACGTTAAACTCGGCCTTGTGTCACATATATTCCTCGTAAATTGTTAAATATTAAGATACGTCGAGATACAGTCTCTGACTGTGTGCGACGTCTGTCGAACTCTCTGCTTTGGCAGAAGGGAATCCGGACAAAGCTTTGCCGAAGGGCAAAGTTTCGTCCGGGAAGGTAGACAGTTCCCGAACCTGCTTACGCGGGTTCAAAGGGGATATATTTTGGTTGAGCCTACGGGCTCAGAGAAACACCCGTTAAATTCGGCCTTGTGCCACATACATTTCCTCGTGGGTGGACTGTTAAATATCGAGATACGTGGAGATACGTTGAGACAGGTTGAGAGATATGGAGACAGACACAGAGTGTTCTCAAAGAGTTATACAAGAGTCCAGAGAGAGAGAGAGAGAGAGAGAGAGAGAGAGAGAGAGATTATGGCTTTACTTACAGAGATTTGTACATATACTTTCTACTGACCAGCATTCCTGGACTACTAATCTTCACTTCAAGTCTGTATTCTTACGTTTAATACACTTATTTTTCTATCTCAGTTACTGGCGGTGTTTATTAATTTGTGCAGGATTCCATTCACGGAATCCACAACAGGTAAATGTTACCGTGTTATTACACATGTATATACAGATGAGTATACGATGGACATTTTAAAATCAAATTTAATTTGTTGTTAAATATTTTATCAGTATATAGTCTGCCCGATTCCATTTAGTTTAGTATATTTCATGTTTTCTTCACTTTTGTTATTAAATATTCCACATTGTCAAGAAAGGTGATACAGTAAACGTACCTGAACGTAAACTTACTCTAAATGATCCAGTGATTAAAATCCTTTCTATACAGCTCTGCTCTGACTATTGACTCCGGTCTAAGAAGGCCTACGCCCAATTATCGTGCCATCATCGCAGTGAATACATACATTGCATTCAGCCTAGTCTACTCGATTGTGCGAGATGACCGTTGGCTATTAACAAATGGTCTTGTTTTTAAACCTGACAATCATTCTGTTCACTAGAAAAGACTTGTTGGAGAGCCAGCACGCCTGATAAGACATGAACATGTGTAGCGAAATATTTACAGGCAAGATGTCCTCATTTCCCGCCACTTGCAGGAGAGCGGACCTGTAACCCGTGAATGATAAAAGGGATCAACCTCGAATAGAGGAAAATAAATATTACATTTCAATGTTAAGCGTTTTCGAAATCGCTATTTCATGCGCATGCGCAATATTCCGGAAGTAAAAGTAAAATGATGCAGTTAGAAAAAAAAATCGAAAAGACAACAATGAATCTAGGATATGAATTTAATGGAAAGGGAATTATGGAAACAAGGATGGAAGATAATGACGATTATCCGTCTACTCGAACAGGTCAAAACTGAAGTGTTCCGAGAAGTAACATCGTGATTATATTCAACCAAGCGCCATTGCTTTGGCAAAAAATCTGTCTGAGTGGGACTTGCTTCATACATTTGGAACATAAGGATATGAGCAGGATTTAACTGACTGGAAATGGCATTTCGAGCCCTAAGTCTGAAGTGGCGAAAAAAACTAATGAAGCTCATCTGAACATTTGCAAACGAAATAGAGGCAAACTTACGATAGGCTTAGTGGCATCTGTGGAAAAAAAGCAATTCCGTACAAGATCAGGCAGCGTCCTGGGTATGACGATAAACTACATGTGCGTCCTGAGTATGACGATAAACTACATCCGCGTCCTGGGTATGATGATAAACTAAATCCGCATCCTGGGTAAGACGATAAACTACATCCGCATCCTGGGTATGACGATAAACTAAATCCGCGTCCTGGGTATAACGATAAACTACATGCGCGTCCTAGGTATGACGATAAACTACATCCGCGTCCTGGGTATGATGATAAACTACATCCGCGTTCTGGGTATGATGATAAACTGCATCCGCGTCCTGGGTAAGACGATAAACTACATCCGCGTCCTGGGTATGATGATAAACTGCATCCGCGTCCTAGGTATGACGATAAACTACATCCACATCCTGGGTATGACGATAAGCTACATCCGCGTCCTGGGTATGACGATAAACTACATCCGTGTCCTGGGTAGGATGATAAACTACATCCACGTCCTGGGTATGACGATCCATCGTCCTGGGTAAGACGATGAACTGCGTCCTCTGATAATACGTTTTTGAAAAAAAAAAAACCTTATCAGTTCTACATTTTTGAAAAAAAAGATTATTACCAGCTGTACGTTTTTGAAAAAATAATATTACTAGCTATACATTTTTGCGGAAAAAAATATTAACAAACTAGACTTTTGAAAAAACAAAAATATTACCAGGACAAAAAAAGTTGTCGGCATTAAATGACACATTGAAGTTGATATGCTGTAAAACAAACCAAAGCAAACCAAAGCAAACCAAGATCAGACAAGGACTGATCAAATGTTAACGGATGGGATGTGGTAGAAAGTTTTATTAGAATTCTTATCTCGCAAGATATGGAAAGTAATTTCAGTAGTTCTGCAGCATTGTGCAAAAGTTGGAATTGTCTTCAATTTGACCTCTTTCTGAAAATGTATGCAAGGAGTTCTTTGTAAGTTGGTTGGTATCGGGAAGAATTTATAAGTAAACAACGACAACTCCAAGGTTACTTCCGATGTTAGTCTTAAAGACATAAACATTATCACCTAAAAAAAAACAATAAAGTTCGGAAAGAAATACAAAAGTAATTAAAAGAAAGTAATGATACCATTGACAATGTTTAATCTCTTCCGAAACAATTCTGTCAATATACGTTTAGTGGCTGACAATACAACCACTTATCATGGCAGCTGACAGCCGGCACACACTTCTCCCTTAAAAAAAATATTTGTCTGGTAGCTTAGAATATAGAACACACTTCTGGGGACAGAATAAGCAAATAAAAAATACTTACCAAAATTCCTGTAAATTATTGCTGAATGATAAGTGTGCAGTTAGGATGAATAACATATAGATTGATTGATATTTTTTACGACTTATCAACCATTTTCAGGTTATTTAAATTTATAAACTACATTTAGATTATAAGAATATTTTTGAAGATAATCCAACCGAATTTAATCCACAAAAATTTAAATGCAATTTCATTCGCTATCTACTATGCTCCTGGTTACTCTTTCCTCTTCCAGCTCATTATTAATGTTTCTGTTTCTAATTATTATACATCCTGCAATCCCTTGTGGTTAGTGGTTTCCTGCCTTGCGTGGGGTGGGGGTGATACCGATTAAACAAAATAAATTTATATATACTATATTATATTTTATTATTTAAATATATTGTCAAAGGAGTTACAATTTTTGCATTTATCTTGATATCATTTTCTACTTTGAAAGTACCGAGAGTTTTTAATAATTTAAGTGCAGCACTAAACTGGCGTCGAGATCTCATCAATTTACAGTTTAGCTGGCGAGATGTAACTGTGAATTCTATGCTAACAGTTTTTTTTTTTGTTTTTTTATCGCACTTCTTGTTTGTGGAACTCCTTTCTGGCTCCATGCTTTCCAGCCAACATTAACCTGAAAAGATTTGAATGCAAAGTCAATCGCTATCTATTGTCCTCCTGATTACTCTTTTCTCTTTCAGCTCATTAGTAATGATTCTGTTCTTAATTATTCCACATCCTGTAACCCCTTGTTTCTTGGCGGTTTGCTGCTTTGCATGGGGGGGGATAGCGATTAAACAGAATAAATTTACATATCCTATATTATATTTTATTATTTAAATATATTGTCAAAGGAGGTAAAATTCTTTGCATTATCTTGATACCATTTTCAACTTTGAAAGGACGTAGAATTTTTTTTAATTTAAACACAGTATTAGATTGTCGTCGAGATCTCAATTTACAGTTGAACTGGCTAGATGTAACCGTAAATTCTATGCTAGCAGTTTCTTTTCCCGCACTTCTTGTTTGTGGAACTCTCTTCTGGCTCCATGCTTTCCACCCAGCATTAATCTGAAAAGATTTAAATGCAAAGTCAACCGATATCTACTGTCCTCCTGATTATTCTTTCCTCTTCCAGCTCATTAGTAATGTTTCTGTTCCTAACTATTTGACACCCTGTAACCCCTTGTATCTTAATGGCTTTATTGCCTTGCATAGGTTGATACCAATGAAAAAAATAATGGTTTAGTGATACAAGTTTTAATAATTAACCTATAGCTGAGGAGAAAGAAGAGGTGGACAAATACGATTCTGCGCGAAAGTGAATTTCACGAAAACCAAAAAGAAATTGGAACTCGGCTCTCCGATTAACAATTCCGAGTCATTATCCATTAAACCCTATGCACATCGAAGCATTCTCATGTGGTCACCTATCTAGGTACTGACCAGGTTCAATGTTGCTTAACTTCGGTGATCACAGGGGAACCGGTGTTACAACGTGATGTGGCAAGCCGGAACACATTGAAAACGTTTACAAATCTAACATGTTTCGCTTTTATTAAAGCTTCATAAGAGAATGAAATATAGAGGGGAAAAACAAATTTCTATTTTCTAAGTTTTGTGTTGCTAGTTTTACGCAGGTAATACCTATCTAGGTATTGGCCAGGTTCAATATTGCTTAACTTCGGTGATCACACGGGAAACGGTGCTTCAACGTGATGTGGCAAGCCGGAACACATTGCTAACGTTTACAAATCTAACATGTTTCGCTTCATAAGAAAATTAAATGTAGATGAGAAAAAAGTAATTTCTATTTTCTACGTTCTGTGTTGTTAGTTTTTCCTCAGGTAAAGCGAAACTCGTGGGCATTTGTCTTGTCAACCAGCGTTCGTTTGGATAATTCATTTTGTATATGTTTCATAATTCTAGTTTGTCTATGCAGGATAGGGATGATAATGTATATTTGTTTGTTTTTTAAGTATGTGTGTGTTTGTGTGCTTGTGTGCGTATGTGTGTGTGCATTTAATAAGGTTACTGTAAATATCCCGTGTTAAATTGCCTCATGGTTGTCTGAAAAGACCCACCAGGCTAACTACGCAATAAAGATGTCAAAACGAAAACAACAAAAGAAAGAATTAACAGATGATAGAAAATATGGCATCGAAATCCGAAAATACATCAAAGTAAGAAAAAATACCTTCTAAAACCAGAAAGAACGTAGTAAGCAATAGGAACTCTTTTCTCAGAAACCAAAGAATAGAGTACTGAAACCCCATGTGTCATATAGGAAGAAATTGATTTCCGATATTTTTCGCAATTTATTGCAGCCAGTATTGCAGAACTGGATTCACAGTTTGAAAAAAAGACAATGGATAGATTTCACGGCGTAACAAAAATTCAGTTAACTTTATAAATGAAAGCACGTCTCTCGTAAGAGATTTCGAACCCCACGTCCGGAAACATTATTTTCGTATCCAAAGTAATTTCTAAGTTCTAATAACCATTGTATTAGTGGGTACGTTGTGGCAGAGCAGTCAGTTTAAAAGCATGTCGAGCTGTATGGTGATCTATTCTATACAAGGTGGATGAAGTTTCAAAATCTATTGTAGAGCACAATTGAAAACTATCGAAGTCTCCTACCGGCATACATTAATTGCTCTGTTAAAAGAAACAGGGTGTCTGTTCAAATACGTGTAGCCTTAATTTAAAGATATTAGCTATATTATTAAAATATTTTTTTCCGATAAAAGTTATTATAATAGTTTATATTATTATGCTGATAATAAATGTAAAAATAAACTAATTTGTTGGAAATATATGTCTTTTATCGGAACAGAGTGCTTGTTGTCTGTTCCGATAACAAGTATCATAATACAGCTAATATCTACCGATAGTATAATAGTACAGCTACTCACTAACGATAGCATAATAATATAGTTACTATCATAATACAGCTATTATAAAAAAATATTTTAATAATATAGCTAATATCTAACGATAATATAATAATACATTTGCCATCTACAGATACTAAAAACTGCATGAATTCATTAGCATATAAGAGTAATATTTTATATATATATATATATATATATATTATATATATATATATATATATATATATATATATATATATATAGGATAAACAAAAAAATATTAACTAGAAAAATAACTATGGTCTCCAATCACGGATTCTTCAATAAATGCAAAAATATACGTTATTGTACGTGACTGACAAATGTTAATTTTGCACGTTGATGATAGAATTCTGGGGTTTGATTTAACAGCTTGAATTTTAAATCAACAAATACACACACACACACACACACACACACACACACACACACATATATATATATATATATATATATATATATATATATATATATATATATATATATATATATATATATGAGTGTGTGTGTGTGTGTGATGAAATTATAGCTTTAACTTATGCAAAATTTATGGGTTAAAGTACTCAATATCAGGAATATAGCGTATGCAAATATAAAAGTGGACATTAAAGTCAACACCCAGAGGCGACAATCTGTTTCATGCTAAATGCAATCATCAGGACCGGAACCCGCGTCCTCTAGAGGAAACTGGCATTAGATATGACGCGCCTTAGACCACTAGGCCACCATCAAACATGCTCCAAATAGTGCTTTTGATCACAGAGCGAATACAGTTTGTGGCCACCTATATTTCTTTTAATAAAAACACCATAAAATGAGATAGTTTTGTATTTTTTTAAAGTAAAGGACAGGATTTTAATAACTACAATATATTTGCTTTTATTTTAACAATTACCCCACCGTGCCATCATCTTTGATAATATAATCAGTGTGAACACAGAGTTCGGCACCGAGTGGCATGAATCTGTTTAATGCTTGAACGAAATCACCTGGCGGTGTGATTTGAATATTATGTGGATTACTTACTTATGTTAGACATTCAGGGATTATAAGTGTAAGGTTATTTCAGGTTCTCAAAATAACACATTAAAAGTCACCGTGACCATCTCTATGCCAGATATTTAGTATTTTTACCTTACCTATTGTACTTATTCTAACTCACACACAAACATAGACAAGTATATATATATATATATATATATATATATATATATATATATATATATATATATATGAAGAAAAATATATACAGAAAAAACAAACAAAATTCCTTATATACAATTATGCTGTTTTAATGTTAATATGTCAACGTCGGACGTTTCGGTCTAATAAACCATCTTCAGGACATATTCATAAATTATAACATTATCAATACAACATGACAAAGACGATGTACATAAGAACAAGACTTATCCAAACAAGTAACTGAAAGTGTTATAATTTATGAATATGTCCTGAAGATGGTTTATTAGACCGAAACGTCCGACGTTGAAATATTAACATTAAAACAGCATAATTGTATATAAGGATTTTTTGTTTGTTTTTTTCCGTATATATTTTTCTTCATACTGTCGGATCTATATCCATATATTTGCACACACACACACACACACACACACACACACACACACACACACACACACATATATATATATATATATATATATATATATATATATATATATATATACAACCCCATAAAAGAAGCCCACATTTCTCAACCGCACAAGACACCCATACTAACATATAGACTTACACACATCATAAACACTCCCGAAGAACTAAATGATAAAATACACTTAACACAGATACATCCCCTTGCAAGGAACCAATAAAACTGTCGAAATAACCCAGGCAATTCAGAGTAGCATGAATCTATACAGTCTCTATCTTAAAAAACAAAAAAAAAAAAAAACAACTAAAAACAGGCCGTTTGACCAAGACACGGACTGACCAAAATTAACGTTAAAAAAAAACAAAAAAAAATGAAAACTACAGACAAGGTTCATTTTCTTCAGAATGTCATTCATTCCTGTAGTTCACTGCTACTAACAAGCAGAATGTTTTTCGCAGCTGCCTCCCGAGACGAGACTCCGCCCCTCATCCGGGGATCCTCTCTGCGCGGAGGCAAAGAGTTTGACCAGCACAGCCAGAGACGAATCTCCAACTCCAGACCAACATACAGTATTTACTACTTTATGGGAAAGGGGGCATAACCATTATCGTCCATTTTGTATGCTACAACACATAGATAATGAGGAAATTCCGCCAGAAATTGTCCAGAATTCGTTTCTGAAGAAATCTGGTGAGTTTTGGCGAACGAGTAAGTGTGTGTTGTATTCACCCACACCATAAGGCTAGTGGTAGTCGAATTTTAGGCTTGTTTTCCCGACGATAAAAACAGGAAAAATAAACGTGCACAATTTTAAAAAGAAGCGTGGTAAACTGTATGTTAATTTCATACAACTATATTTATGTATTTGTGTGTATTGGCGTGTGTATTTTTTTATCTTACAATTGTATTAATCTACATCTTATAAAAGGGAGCACTTTTCTCCGTAATATTACAAATCATATCACAGAGGGAAGCTACACACATGTTTGGTGTATAGCATCTTCTCTTCTGGGTGAGGTCTTTTGGTTGACGGAGTCGATTACACAACAAAGCTGCATTCCTCTCGGCCGTCTTCTCCCGGTCGTGTGTCAAATATTTTTAGATTCGGAGGTAAAATAAGAAATTCAATAAAAGGGATTTTAAACGTATCTATTTTATTAACACGTCGATGAGTACATTTATAACCAGCCAGTGGGGTCGCTCTATCAGACCCACTCGGGAGTAAGTTCCAAGCACACGAAATTCACACGTCTGTTCTTATCGATGCCTAAAACTTAACACACCGAAAGGAATTTCTATCTCTTTAACATCCACACGCTAGTTTTAACCAATAAAAAAGGATTTACTTTGTTTTGTCTACGATCTAACCTTAAGGTCGAACTGAGGTAGTCCGAGGAAAATACAATTCTTTAAAAAATAATAGTCTGCTAGATTATTATTTAATAGTGTTGTCATAGTAGCGGCCCTTTGGCGAAGAGGTTGAATATAACATCTTTTGGCTGGATGTCTGTATTTTAGACAGGAAGAGTTTTTGTTGCATGCTGGGAGTAATTTTATTATTTTTATTTAATTTATTTTAAACAAATTTTTAAATATTATTCTTTTATTTTATTATGTTTATAATTTTCAGTTTTATTATTATTATTATTATTATAATCTTATTTATAACATTAATAATTTATTTGTAACATTAATAATATCCCCACAAGTGTTCTTCGTAGGCAAAGAGTGTGTGTGGGGAGGCGTCTGCACGGGGGGGCGTCTGTGTGTGTGTGTGTGTGTGTGTGTGTGTTTTAGGAGGATGTGAAGTCTTAAATTGTAATTGCTTTTATTTATAGATGGATGTTCTGGCTGTATAAGAATTCTCCCAAGAATCATGTGTGTGTGTTTTTTCTGTTTTATTTTCCTGGCATTTTTGTATTATTTGTGAATAGCTGTATAATGTTATTAAGAACCTTGTGTTCCTTATTAATGTACTGTTTGATGAATTTCCTCCTTATCTGAGAAGGTTTATTGATAATTTGTAAAAGTCAATCCGTGTAATTAATAGAAACAAAATGTTTGTTGTCATTAATAATATTTGCGTTAAAGAACATACAAAAGAATATATATATATATATATATATATATATATATATATATATATATATTTATAAATTAACTGATTTAAAATATAGTTTTTTCGCTACACAGTAATAACCATGTTTCAAAACTAGAAGCTAAAAAATTCAAATTTAATTTTGTAATTAAATTAAAAACATTAGTTCCATTTCATCTTCAAGCGAATATTGGAGTAGTTATTTTTTTTAAATTTACTGAGTTTTAAACGCACACAAAAATTCATAATTCACTGTTTCCACAAAAATTCATAATTCATAATTCACTGCTTCCAGAAAAATTCATAATTCACTGTTTTCCTGTGCGTTTAAAACCCAGTAAATTTCAAAAATAAGTTTCTGCAATATTTGCTTGAATATAAAATGGAACTAATATTAACATGGTTATTACTGTGTAGCGAAAACAAACATATTTTAAATCAGTTAGTTTATAATATTTATGCTCTGTAAATTTACTTGAGCACGGTTTTGTAAAAATAAAACAATATCAATAAGAACACCTGATTATATACCCTTTTTTTTAATTTATACACAGACACACACACACACACACACACACACACACACACACACACACATATATTGTGCACGCCATTCAAACAATTTCTATTTTGTCGTCTTAACACCAAACACACACACACACACACATATATATGCATATATATATATATATATATATATATATATATATATATATATATATATATATATATATATCGGATATAATTAAAAATATATCTGTAAAAGGACAATATAAAAGGCAAAAAGAAAACCTTTTGTAATTACTGCTTTTCCTCTTGATAAAGTGCATCAAAAACGTGTCGGCTACGATAAGTTTTCCTTTTGTCTTTATGCACACACACACACACACACACATATATATATATATATGATGAAAATACATATTTTTAAGGTATGCTATATTTATACATTAAAATGTTCAATATCAAGGATAGAGCGTATGTAAATATATCTCTTATAATTCTGCTTGTACCCAATCTTTCGTTAGTTTGTTCCTTCGTTTGTTTGCACGGCCGTTACGCCCTGCCAATACCTCATAAATAATGGGCTATTCCGTTTTGTTAACGTAAGAACAAAGAAATGTCGTGTCAGAGACACTACTTGGTTTCAGTGAGAAAATGAATGAGAGAACGAAAGAAGAGGAGATAGAAGTAACCTAAGTTTACTAAATAACAACTTATTAAATAAGAACGACAGACTGCTATATTTAAACCAGACAGAAAATTGTTTTTTTTTTCCAGTAAGGTGTGGCATCTTAAAGCAAACTGGGCATAGGTAAGTTAAAAGTGGAACTATGGAGCGAAGACGGAAATAAAAACGAAGCCAATTGACAAAATAAATGGTTTCTGATTCGGAGTATTTCGCATTCTTCTGCTTTGGAAATAAGTATTTAACATTTTTCAACCAACCGGTCGCGTTCCCACCAAAAATATATAAAAAAAATGCTTTGTGATTTCTTTGAAGGTTTTTTTCAAGCAAAGTTTGCAGACTGTTTTAGCGTAATAGATAAAGTATTCAATTTGAAATGTGTTTGTGCCAGATCTACTTGAATATGATATTCGTTTAAGTTTACAATATCTATATTTTTGTATCGTCGTTTACTGCAACTCTTCCGACATAAATCCTTTACAAATGTTTCCGCGAAATCCGTCTACTGACAGAAAACAATGAAGACGAAAGCCATATTTTAGCACCATTCGAACCAATAAAAGAGAGCTGAATACCTGAATGCTTTCAGATATGAGGTGGTGAATTGAAAATCAAAACAAATAGATAACCAGAGTGAAGAATGAATGTAATCATTTTTCATGCTTTAACTATGGGAAGTACACATAATGAGCAATGTAACTGCGTTTCTCATGATTTAAATACAAAAATATACACGTAATATGTTGTTCTAACCGGAACTAAGAAAACGGAAGCACCATTTCTACTACTCTTCAGACACGAATCGGCCATATTGTGTATGTGAGAATACAAAGCTGTAGTATTGCTACTGCAGGCAGAAGTTACTCAAATAAGTTATCTGTCTCGTTTCTGACTTAATTTGACATTTACAAACCAGTGAAATTTCGTGAAGAATATTTGCAACTGAATCCTTTGAATTATATCTATAAAGAAGGTTTTGAACAGAAATTCTTTTATTGTCACTTATTTTCCATTTATTTATTTATTTTTTGCTTGAATCGAAATTTGATTTTTTTTCATTTTCAGTCTTTTTATTTCAGTTTTCTTTTTCATTTTGGCCGCCATTTTAAGTTTTTCTTGTCTAACGAAAAAATCTTATCAGACAACTGTTTTTGTTTTATTCCGTTTTTCTTTTGTTTAATTTATAATTTTGCTTTTAATTTTTTACTAATTATCCCCTATATTTCAAGGAACATTCTGAACGGAAAGCGTATTTCTTTTTAATTGTTAACATGCTCGGCTTTCAACCGACATTTATTTTAATTTATTTTATTTCTCTGGGGTAACTACGAGTTTCTTCAGATTATAGTTTTTCTTTATTTTTATTTCTTAAAGTTTATTGCATTTAGTTTGGCATTCTATTTAACGAAGAAACATCTTTTTAAATATGGCCGACAAACGTACTAGCTGAGGAAAGATCTTTTCGCGTCTGCCTCCTTGGTTGACCATCAGATAAAGGGGAAAATAGATTAGTCAACCCCTAAAACCAAACAAAAAGAAGACAAGTCCAAAGAAAAGAAAAAAAAAAAACTAATATTGGAAAAATGTGCCAAAATCGATAGAGGCACTAAAGAATTCGACAGCCAGGAAGTCTCCACCAAAACGTTAGCATCGCAGAATATTTGGAAAGGGTCACACGATACGAACATCATAGTAAAGAAGATAGACTTTTGTAAGACTCCAAGGTATTACAGAATTTCGAAAAGAAAATGTCATCAGTCTTCGTGGTGGTCAAGCGTAAAATCAGTCACTCCACGAAAGTCTGCCTGACTTTTTCATGTGGGGGGTACTGCTGCCTAAAAGTAGAGATTGTATAGAGGTGGCGAACCGAAAGTTGATTACCAAAGACCTAATCCTAAGAACGCAATATGACGGTCAGCGTATTATTAGTAGTATATGAGGACCCTCCTTTTGTGATAGGAGATCACCTGCCAATCTACTTAAGCCAGTATTGTCAAATCCTAGGTGTTATATGACGATATGAATGAGAATAGAGCTTCATTACTATACAGAGGAAAGTAAACCAAAGCCAGTTGAATTGCTGGGCCCTTTAACCTTTCTTCCTCATCGTAAAAAAGGATCATGACCCCTCTACCAATGACAAGATTATTAGCCCCTACCTCAACCAAAATGACCAGCTTAAAGAAAACCACAACATCTTCTACTCCAATCACTTCTACACAAACAATTCCAGTCTACATTCCCAATACCACAAGTTCACAGTAACTACAAAAGTATGATTCATAAAAAAGGCAGCGAAATCATGATAACACTTCCAAAGTAGAAAAAAGAAAAATCAAAACCTCCTCATGGCCGCGGGGAAGATGTCTGCCGCTTATCTGAGGAGCAAATCGTGAAAGCATTGCCAGATGCCCAAAAGATCAGAGATCTTAAATTTGTACTCAATTAAAAACTATGGTCGGGAAGGACGTTGAAAAACTGCAAAATTCCCCTAAAGTAAAGAGGATTTAACAGTGGTACGATCAGACTCCGGTGTGCGTCAGATATGGCGCATGATCGATGAGGCCAACAAGGCCCTCTCAACGTGACCCCGACTGGCCTATTTTGACAATGAAAATATTAAGAGATTACTACAGTATTGTGCTGGGAGGACGCCACTTTTTGTTCACCCATCCCTGTATAGAGCGCTCAAATTAACGTTTCCTTTGGACACTGACTCATCCTCCTGAGGGTAGCATAAGAAGTGAAGTGGATTGAGGCTGAATAGGACAGGATGTCGGTGTTCTCACCCCGGCCATGTTCAATAAGAAAGTTATGCGTTGTTTTCCTCTGTCGTGTCAATCTGTCCTGTGAGTATCATATTTTCCAGTCCGTCTTTCCTCATTATGTGCCGTAGCAATTTCAACTGTCTCTTCATGATGTTAAGCATAATTTTTTTCATTTTTATTTACATTTTCTCTTCTTTATCTATGGGAAGTTTTCCACCATCCTCCGTCATAGAGGAGAGCTGACAATTTCTGGCAATCGACTTGGATTGAATTGTACTTCCACGTAAATAATAGTTAAAACTGAAACCATAGAAACAACTTGGTAACGTTATGTAACTTCCGAAAGTTACAATGTTACCATTCGTACAATCTGTAAGAACAATGATGAATCTAAAATCTGTTTAGCGTAGGGCTACCAAATCACAGCGACGAAACGAGCAGCCTCTTATCCCCTAAATTCTGATTTGTGGAACCTACTTACAAGAGGATGCTTCCCTGATCAGTACAATCTTAAACTTTTCTTGTCTAGGGCTAGCTGTTACCTTCCCCACATATCCCCATAAAAGTTACCTCTTGCTCTACCTGGAGTTGCTCTTGGGCCTTATGCAAGGTGAATATTATTGTAAAAAAAAAGTTAAAGGAATGAAAATTTCAATTAAAATCGCGTGGCGGATATGCGACAACCATATCCACACCGAGAAACACTGCTTACCACCCCCGTATTCCTTTCGTATTCAATTGTTGAAATGTAAGTTCCACTTGAGCAGCTTCTTACTCAGAGCCGCTGCTTTGTGGAACCGAATCCCAAGAGGATGCTTCCCCAATCACAACAATCTAAACCTGCCCAATAGCTTACGGTTAAATCACGCTGGAACACCGGTTCTCGTTCGATCACCGAAGTCAGGTCAGTACTTAGATGGGGGACCGCTTGGGAACACCTGGTACTGTAAGCCCCCAAAGTCCAACCCTTACCTCACAGTCGGTGGGGGGGGGTAAACGGTAGTGTCAGAGCTATGCCGCCCGGAACTTCGTTCCTGGTAGGGCCACCCAAGGCGGACAGGTCTGACACACACGCCGGCTAACAAGGGCTCTGGTGAAAATCCAAGGAGCGTCTGCATCGGTAACCGGCGGCTTCTGGTCGTTCCTGTCTCTGCGTCTGTGGGAATCCCGCGGCAAGCAAGAACGTTATCCGAGTAGGCCTGGGTACCCTACTTCTGTAATTTATCCCAAGAATCTTCTTCTCATAACAGGAAGAAGCCGGCTCAATCCACCCAGGGTGAATGCCGCATCAGTACAGTACAGTATTAAACCTGTCCCAATCTAGAGTTAACCGTTATCTTCCCCATATAAAATATAACTCTACCAATACTCTACCAGGAGTGGCTCTTGGGCCTCTTGAAGGCTGAACATTATTGTAAAAACAAAGATTTAGGTGAAGGTCTAAAATAAGATCTAGGTGAGCATTTCTACAAAAGAATACTTTTTAGGGAAACTAAATTTGTGACGCCTTCGTGTGGAGGCTGCAGGTTTGAAGACGAGGGCGTGTCATCGACTATTTTAATTGAATTTATATGCGTTTTTTTTTTTCATCGTCTTAAAAATGCATTTATTCTAATTCGCTTTCTCCTTTTGAAGTGACATATTCGCTCAGCACGGAATAAAAAAAAAAAACTATTCTAATATATTTTGATGATTCTTTCCTCGTTTAATGCCCCGAGGCATCCAATTCAAAATAACTCCGCCTTTTGACCCGCTCTCGACCAACGCATTGTCAATCTATTTCAATATCCCGATCATGTTTACAATTTCACACGCAGACTGAAAACTGGGCAAAGAACATTCTGAAGAATACGATTGACATTGTCTGCCTCAAAATAGACAGCTGATTGATGACAAACTAATTAGTTTTAATTAATTCCAAGTGCATTCCAAGTGATGTTGGAAAACCGGAACAATGTGAAACACCATTCTCGGCGACAACTGATCAACACGAAGGCCTCAAAAGCATACCCGTTACAATAAAAAAAAACATACAATTTTAGTAGTGTTAAATTAAATAACAAATAATTAAGTATTAATCGTTAGTCTTATATAATATTTTTAAAGAGAATAATGTTCGATATCAGAATAAAGGTTTTAATTGCGTTTCAATATATTACTAAAATTGTTTGCACAAAAATATATTACCGATTCCTAATAATTAAAGTGTCGTATTTGTTAATTTTATATCAATCTCTTTCAGAATTTGACTTAAGATAAAAAGAACAGATGTGTTCAATTTTGGTTATACTACTTCTCAAAGTGCTGCTAGCATTAACACAGCATTTATCAAAGGATTCACTTGTGATCAGACAATACATTGCAGGCTTCTGAAGTACCACTGTATGGATAAAAGCCTTGAGGATCAAGGTGACTGTGAACGTCCAGTATAAATTGAAAATCAATACGTGAAAGCAGTCGAATAAAGTCGACTTTATGACAATGCTCGGCCACATGTTACCAGGATGACTGTAGAGCCTCACGGACTTACGCTTGTCTATCATATTTCCCTGATCTTTCGCCAATTGACTGCAACTTTTTCAAGTATCTTCATATTTTCTCTATGCTTGACTTAAAATAAAAAGAAAAGATGTGTTCAATTTTGCTTATACTGCTTCTAAAAGTGCTGCTAACATTAACAGAGCATATATCAAAGGATCCACTTGTGATCAGACAATACAATGCAGGCTTCTGAAGTACCGCAGTATGGATACGAGCCTTGAGGATTAAGGTGATGGTGTACGTCCAGTTTCAGTTGAAAATCAACACGTGAAAGCAGTCGAATAAACTCCGCGGCAAAGTGTCAGAGAATTACCCCAGATAATGGGTGTCAACATTTGAAAAATACCGTCTATCTCAATAAAATTGCCAAATTGAAGAAACGCAGTAGATGGGTTCAACATGAACTTCAAAGATTTCGATGTCTTGAAGTGTGTTCGATGCGGCATTTTCGAATTTCGAATGATAGATTTCTTCAACTGAGAAATCTATACTCTATGACAATCGTAAACGATCAGCTCAATGTCATGATCTTAACGAATCATCCAAAAACTTTCCGAAACCAAAAATCCACCAACAGAAGATTGGGGTTATTGTTTGGTGTTTCGATATTGGATTTAGCCATTATAGCTTTCTGGAATCCTACCAGAAAAGAAAGTATTGCTGAGGATTGATGCAAAAAAAAAAATGGATAAAATGTGCATTCAGTTAATCAAGATGGCGACCGGCACTGGTTAATCAACAAAGTCCAATTCGACTTTACGCCAATGCTCGGCTACATGTTGCCAGGATGACTGTAGAACCTCACCGACTTGGCCTTGTCTATCATATTCCTCTGATTTTTCGCCAATTGACTACAGCTTTTTCAAGCGTCTTCCCAATTTTCTCTATGTTGACTGTATAAACACAATTTAAATACATTAACTCGGAAATAAATGACGATTCTAAAATCAGACATTATTTTCCAAACAACGTAATTATATTGCATATTTCAACAGTATTTCTTACTGGGTTTAGCTTTTTACATTATATTACAAGCATTAAAAGCAATTTAGAATTGGCAATATGGGTATTAAACGTAGAATTAAGCGCCGTTAGAGGAACTTCTGTTTGACACCGTAAAATACAGCAAAACTTAAGACCTCAAATCATATTCTTCAATAGTCTTGTCAGATTTGAACTCTATACATAAATGTCATACATGGCATGCAAAACGCTCAGAACTGTTCAAACATGAATTTCAGGTTTTATCCACAATTTTGATCCCGATATATACAAAGGAAAAATTAAATAATAAACACACACACGCACTCACACACACACACGCACACAAATTTAACCTACATGATCTTGCGATTAAGGCATTCCCTAGACATTTACTTTGTCGTAAATTATTTTCTCTTTTGATCAGAATGGCTTTTTTATGTCAAAGTTGTAGTCAGTCACGTTACAGTGGCCGACCAACGCATTTGATGCATTATTTAGTAAAATGTCCCTTTTGTGTTCATATTCTTTTCGTATTCCTTAGGGATTCTTCAAGAACGGTTAAATTAAAAGAGTGCTCAATACAATTTTCATAAAATGAAAGTGTAGTGTAAGTTCAGTTATGAAATATCCGAAATACTGATCTGTCTGCAAAAACGGCTTCTACCAAGATGGTTTCGTATGGAAGTAAGTTTAAGTGTTTCGTCTCAAAGAAATTGTACTTGTAATGGCAGTGAAGGGGAAAAGAGGAGATTTGAGAAGAAAAAGAGATAGAGAGACAAAGCTGAATAGAAAGGGCGGGGAAACGTTCGCACATATACTTCTATCGGGATCAAAATTACACACACGTATATATATATATATATATATATATATATATAATCAAACGAGTCCTTTTACCTCATATGGTGAATAGGCTATTTCGGCAGACCAGGAAAGTTGTCGTCTGTTTTTCAACCCCGGTGAGGAATGAAGTTCACGTCTGTAAGATTAGAGGAAGCTGGGTTACTAGGAGTTACGTGTGAGGAACTGATATTGGAAGCTAATGCGTCACCTTAAACCTTAACTTGCCGAAAACTCACTCTCTTTCTCTCTCTCTCTCTCTCTCTCTATATATATATATATATATATATATATATATATATATATATATATATATATGTAATCAAACAAATCTTTTACCTCATAATTTGAATAGGCTACTTCGGCAGACCACGAAAGTTGTCTGTCTTCCAACCCCAGTGTGGAATGAAGTTCACGTTTGTAAAGTTAGAGGAAACAGGGGTTGTAGGGGTTAAATGTGGGAACTGATATTCGAAGCTAAAGGGTCAACTTAAACCTTAACTTGCGGAAAACACTCTCTCTCTCTCTCTCTCTCTCTCTCTATATATATATATATATATATATATATATATATATATATATATATTATTTATTTAAAAAAATATGATTACTTCGCTACATAAGAGTTCTCATGTTTCATAACAAGAGCCGAAAACTGAATTAAATTGAATTAAAGTACCAAGCTTTGTTCCAACTTTAAGCGAAATTTTTAAAATAACGTTATTCCAAAAAATAGTTTGTCCAAAAATTTGTTATTCCAAAAATTTCGCTTGAAGATGGAACAGAGCTTGGTAGTTGTTATGAGATCTTACCCATAATAATAATAATGGACTATTCCATACTTAATAAATACTGCACCTCAGGAGTAGACAACGAGTCAGCGACTGTTCGGTTCACTTCTCTGTCTACGGACGGAGAGGAACCCGAAGGAGGCTACGCCGAAGGGCGGAGTCTCATTCGGGGAGGTAAAACCGGCCCTGAACCCGTTTATACGGGTTCAAATGGGCTATTTTTTGGCCGAGCCTAATGGCTCGGAAATGCCCACGTTTAAAAGGCCTTGTGCCACATGACACACTCGTGGGGGGACGACTAAATATAGTCATTCGTTCAACTCTCGACCGGATGATCGGTTGAACTCTCTGCCTTCGGGTGGGGAGGAACCCGAAGGAGGCTACGCCGAAGGGCGGATTCTCTTTCGGGGAGGTAAACCGACCCTGAACCCGTTTATACGGGTTCAATGGGCATATTTTTGGCCGAGCCCACGGGCTTAGATATCCCACGTTAAACATGCCTTGTAGTGGGGGTGACTGACTATCGTCAGTCGTTCAAGTCGGGTCAGTCGTTCAAGTCGAGTCAGAGGCAGTCCGAAACAGAGTCTCGTTCAGACAATTACTGCAAGGCATTGGAATAGTGATACTGGTCGAGACTACATTGTTCTCTCTACTAAACCAGATTGTTCATACTAACACTTCTTCCTCTATGTATATATTCCTATTTGTAATATATCTGTGTTATTCCATATCCGGTTTCTTCTTTATTGGTTCTACCTTGGACTATCACCGTGGTACAAGGAACCGGACCATAAC